GGGCACAATAGCAGTTTCTTAAGAATACCCAGTTCCTGCAGAGAGCACTGTGCCTACTCTTTTGGAGTGCTGAGCCTCCAATGGGGTGGTCTTGCGGTGGTCAGGTGTCACCAGGTGTCTGGTCCTTTGCAATTTCTGCCGACATGCAAGCAGCCAGTTTGAAACACATTAGCGTTCAGCTTCCTGAAAATACCTAGTGCCTACAGAGAGTGCTAAGCCAGTGGAGTGGCCATGTGCCTACAGCATCTGCTTGTTTATCCAGACTCTTCCTGCCACTTCCCTGTGGAGCAGATCTGGGATTCCCTTTAGCCACCCACCTGGACTATCAGACACAGCCAACCTTCATGTGAGAGAGGGCTTGTCCCAAGGGAAATGCTGTTTAGTTTAAAGACTGACCCTACGTTCACACCTAAGTGTTTTCGTCAGTATTTTGCAGAAACGTAGTATTTATTTATTACAGGTACTTATATAGCGCCGTCAATTTATGCAGCACTTTACATATATATTGTACATTCGCATCAGTCCCTAACCCTCAAGGGGTGTACAATGTAAGGTCCCTAACTCACATTCATACATACACATACTAGGGACAATTTAGACAGGATACAGTTATCCTATCAGCTTGTCTTTGGAGTGTGGGAGGAAACCAGAGTACCCAGAGGAAATCCACGCAGGCACAGGGAGAACATGCAAACTACAGGCAGGTGGTGCCGTGGTTGGGAGACGAACCAACAACAATAGTATTGCCAGGCAGAAGTGGTAACCATTTAACCAGTACAGTCCATTTAACATGATTTCCTATGGGACACGTTCACATCTCCGTGTTTTCACCTGGTGCGTTTTTTGGAAAGGGTCAGGGACTTTTTTGAATGCAAAAAGTTGCATTTTTGGTTCTATAGACTTCAATAGAAACGCTGCAGAAGAGCATGTAGTGTGTTTTTGCCGCATTTTTGATGTGTTTTGCATTTTAAATCTGCCTAGCAACAAGAAAAACAAAACGCATTAAAAACGCAAGTGCAAAAACGCAATGCAAAATGCAGTGCAGAAATGGCTCAAACGCAACCTGCATAGGTGTGCACCTAGCCTTAATGATTCTTCTATATAGGTGTCCTTTTATGAAACAGAGATCAGCGGAGATCCTGAGGATCGTTGCTGATCTCTGATCATTAGTGGTTTAGGAGACAGAGATGATCACCAGAGAATATATTCTCCACTGATCATCTCAGTACACAGATGCCCAGTATATGAAGGAGCGATGTCAGCCCTTCACTGGTGATCTGTGTTCTCCCTCCAGATTCTCCAGCCCAGAGCTGGAGAATCAGAGGAACCGCAAATGAAGCAGCGATAATTTACCGCTGCTTAGTAAAACAGTGTTTGACTGATCTCTTACTGTAATCGCGTGAGATTATAGTAAAAGCAGCCGTTTTCCAGCATTGAAAGCGTTTGTAGATCGCTTCTCCCCTTTCATTGGGAGAACTGATCTACACCACTTCAATAACAAGGCATTCAGAGGAGAACTGTCTTCTCCAAGAATGCTGGAGAACTGAGCAGACGTCATTTACTACTGCATGATAAAGGCTGCCCATACACTATACAATTTTCTGTCCAATTTCTGCCCAATTTCCTTTAGATTTACCTTCAACTATGTAGTGCAAGAGCCTGCCTAATTGGATACAATTGAAAGTGTTGTTAGTTTTGACCTCCTATTATATGGTTTTTGGTAAATCTGAACCAAAAATCTCAAGAAAATTGTGTAATGTATGGCCAGCCAAAAGGACACCATAATTTCTTCCTACTGAGTTTCAGAGACCATATTGTATTATGCTGCCACCTAGCTTCCTATTTTAACATTGCTCCTAGTGGCTCCTGTTTTCTAACAACTTCAGTATTTATTGTTCTTTCTAACTCCCTGTATGCACAACTTTTTGTTCTTTTTCTGCACTTATTGAGTAAACGTCAAGTTACTGCTCACTCCTTGCCTTATTATTTGGCCAGATTCTCACCATTACAGGGTTATCTCTTTAAGATTTCAATGTTTGTGCCCCCACTAAGGACTGTGTGTCTGTGTGCTTGTTAAAGAGATTTCACCTCTCCTTGTCTGACACCTGTCACCTGGACAGGTAAGCTCCAAATGGGGGCAAACACAGAAATAAAATTCTGACAAAGGTTCTGTCACTCGACTAGAAATGTGGTAATTGCTGTCATAGGGATTTCCCTTCTACTTCTTTCACATAGACAGAAAGAGGGGAAACTATTCCTTACTTTCAGTTTACTCTGACATCTGTCAAAAAGACAGGAAGTAGGGAGAAATCTTCATCCTTAACAACTTTGTCCAAAAAAAGGTATGTGTCATTAATTTGCAGTATCAAATGAATGTTCACACCACATGCAGTGCAATGCGTTTTTTTTCTGCATAAAAAACGCATTGATTGAGGGTTTCCAATGGTACAGTTTACACCAGTGCGTCCAGTTCCAGAAAAAAAAAAAGTAGAACATGCTGCATTTTTTTCTGCACTGAACTGTACTGGAACACTGTAACATTTATAAAAAACGCACTAGAACAGATCTAAATGCACAAAAAATGCACTGGAACACACATGGCCTTATTTAACCCCTTCACACTGGTGCCTCCTGACCCTTTAAGGGGTTTCTGACACAGGGAGGCATGGCAGGGTTTAGGGTCATGTGACCGCTGTGATTGGCTGTCACGGCAGTCACATGATCGGAAAGGTCCTGATCACAAGGAGAGATTGGGACCTTTTCGTGAGACACCGACACATATGCTGGGAGTGCGCAGGGCGTGCTCTCAGTACATGTTTGTTTACAAATAATACACAAATATGCAGCTGCTCGGCATCAAGGCCCAGCTGCCAAAAGGCTGCATATTTTTGTACCATTGGAATGAAGAGGTTAATTTGAAGAAAGAGAGGGGAAAAAATGAACTGAAATGCATCAGAACGCATCAAAAAAGTGCATGCAGAAACGCATCCGGAACATGTTTCTATGGTGTGAACCGGCCCCAACACCCCAGTCACATCGGGTGCGACTTGGCATGCGATTTGCATGTCATGCGACTTGCAAATTGTATGCCAAGTCGCACCCTAGTGTCCACAATTACAGGGGTCAAATTGGTGCGGTTACGACTTGGTTGGAGCCGCACCAATTTCTAAAGTAGTACATGTAATACTTTTTGTGCAATTTGCATAGAGATCTGTGTCAGATGTCTTCTAAAGTGCACCTGAAATCGGCATCTCACCCGACTGTGAAATCGTGCGACTTACAGTGAAGTCGCATGATTGCAAAGTCGGGCTTGATGTGACTGGGGGGTTAAAGTCTATCTAAGCCCAACAACTAAACGTTTATATGTTGCAGCTTAGTGGTACTTAGATATAGTGGCTATATTAGGGGTTTTTCTTTAGGCTACGTTCACACTAACTTTGTCAGCAGGCGTCAAACAGGCCTTTGGGAAGCGATTTTAACGCTTTTCAAACGCCTATGAAAATTCTGCACATGGCAGCACACAGTGCTGTTCACACTGAAGCGTTAGTGTCACGTCGCGGCAAAACTGATGCCTCATGTCGAGTCAGGAGGAGTTGAAGCCTCCCATTCAAGTCTATGGTGCCGCTCCTCAAACGCCTGGAAGGCGTTTGCGAGGCGTCTGCGGAGTGTTAATACCATTTAACTTCATTATAGGCGTTTGTGGTGCAGTTTTATTACTTGGCAAACGCCTATCAACCGCCTCAAAACCGCACAAAAATGCTTCCCAAACACTTGTCTAATGCCTGTCAAATGCTTTAGGGGCGTTTGGCAAGAGTTAGAAATTATTATTATTATATTTATACAGGATTTATATAGCACCAACAGTTTGCTCAGCGCTTTACAATATAACGGGAGACAATACAGCAACAATACAGTTCAATACAAGAGGGATAGGAGGGCCCTGCTCCTTGGAGCTTACAATCTAAAAGGGAGGGGCTAGTGGTACAAATGGTAGTAACTGTGGGGGAAGGACTGGTTGGAAGAGTAGAATATTCTATTATTAGCTGAAGGCAGGATAGGTTTTCAGAGTGAGCACAGTAGGCGATAGTCTGATAAATTGGGGTAGAGAGTTTCAGAGGATGGGGGAGGTTCTGGAGAAGTCCTGGAGATGAGCATGGGAGGAGGAGACAAGGGAGCTAGAGAGCAGGAGGTCGTGCGAGGAGCGGAGTACAGTTTAGGTGATATTTGGAGACAAGGTCGGTGATGTAATTTGGGGCAGAGTTATAAATGGCTTTATATGTTATTGTTTATGTTTTCAATTTTATTAGTTGGCCAATGGGAAGCCAGCGGAGGGATTGGCAGAGAGGGGTGGCTGATACAGAACGGCTAGTAAGGTGGATGAATCTGGCAGCAGCATTCATGATAGACTGAATAGGGGATAGCCTGCGATGAGGTCAAAGTGTATAAAGTCAAGTGTAAATGAGCCCTTATAATTTTAACCTCCTGATCCTCTATCACAGTGGTGGCGAACCCGTGGCACGCGTGCCACAGCCGGCACGCCGAGCCTTATCTGTGGGCACGCCAGGAGAATCCAGCGGCGCGCTGTCTTCCCGGCTGTAGTGTGCGTGACAGCCGGGTCCCAAGTGCGCATGCACAAGAAGCAGTGCTCCTTGTGAATGGTAAGGCGGTACCTGGGACACATGACAGATCCCAGAAGCCGCCGGACCAATCACAAAGCGCAGCGCTTCTCGCGCATGCGCACTGGGCATCCGGCTGTCCGACGAGCGCCCACACTACAGAAGCCGGGAAGACAGCGTGCGGCTGGATCGAGGAACAGGTAAGATAAAAAAAAAAAACTCTGCGGAAGTAAGAGCGGGTACCTGTCAAATTCAGGTACCCGCTCCCCCTCCCTCCCCAAAGGTCAGCAGTCATCCCTGTGCTGTCCGCAGTCTCTGGTCATCCCTGTGCTGTGTCCCCAGTCTCTGGTCATCCCTGTGCTGTGTCCCCAGTCTCTGGTCATCCCTGTGCTGTGTCCCCAGTCTCTGGTCATCCCTGTGCTGTGTCCCCAGTCTCTGGTCATCCCTGTGCTGTGTCCCCAGTCTCTGGTCATCCCTGTGCTGTGTCCCCAGTCTCTGGTCATCCCTGTGCTGTGTCCCCAGTCTCTGGTCATCCCTGTGCTGTGTCCCCAGTCTCTGGTCATCCCTGTGCTGTGTCCGCAGTCTCTGGTCATCCCTGTACTGTGTCCGCAGTCTCTGGTCATCCCTGTACTGTGTCCGCAGTCTCTGGTCATCCCTGTACTGTGTCCGCAGTCTCTGGTCATCTCCTGTACTGTGTCCGCAGTCTCTGGTCATCTCCTGTACTGTGTCCGCAGTCTCTGGTCATCCCTGTACTGTGTCCGCAGTCTCTGGTCATCCCTGTACTGTGTCCGCAGTCAGGTCATCCCTGTACTGTGTCCGCAGTCTCTGGTCATCCCTGTACTGTCCGCAGTCTCTGGTCATCCCTGTACTGTGTCCGCAGTCTCTGGTCATCCCTGTACTGTGTCCGCAGTCTCTGGTCATCCCTGTACTGTGTCCGCAGTCATCCCTGTACTGGTCATCCCTGTCATCCTGTACTGTCCGCAGTCTCTGGTCATCCCTGTACTGTCCGCAGTTCTGGTCATCCCTGTACTGTGTCCGCCCTCTCTGTCATCCCTGTACTGTGTCCGCAGTCTCTGGTCATCCCTGTACTGTGTCCGCAGTCTCTGGTCATCCCTGTACTGTCCGCAGTTCTGGTCACCCTGTACTGTGTCCGCAGTTCTGGTCATCCCTGTACTGTGTCCGCAGTCTCTGGTCATCCCTGTACTGTGTCCGCAGTCTGGTCATCCCTGTACTGTGTCCGCAGTCTCTGGTCATCCCTGTACTGTGTCCGCAGTCTCTGGTCATCCCTGTACTGTGTCCGCAGTCTCTGGTCATCCCTGTACTGTGTCCGCAGTCTCTGGTCATCCCTGTACTGTCCGCAGTCATGGTCATCCCTGTACTGTGTCCGCAGTCTCTGGTCATCCCTGTACTGTGTCCGCAGTCTCTGGTCATCCCTGTACTCCGCAGTTCTGGTCATCCCTGTACTGTGTCCGCAGTCTCTGGTCATCCCTGTACTGTGTCCGCAGTCTCTGGTCATCCCTGTACTGTGTCCGCAGTCTCTGGTCATCCCTGTACTGTGTCCGCAGTCTGGTCATCCCTGTACTGTCCGCAGTTCTGGTCATCCCTGTACTGTGTCCGCAGTCTCTGGTCATCCCTGTACTGTGTCCGCAGTCTCTGGTCATCCCTGTACTGTGTCCGCAGTCTCTGGTCATCCCTGTACTGTCCGCAGTTCCATCCCTGTACTGTGTCCGCAGTCTCTGGTCATCCCTGTACTGTGTCCGCAGTCTCTGGTCATCCCTGTACTGTGTCCGCAGTCTCTGGTCATCCCTGTACTGTGTCCGCAGTCTCTGGTCATCCCTGTACTGTGTCCGCAGTCTCTGGTCATCCCTGTACTGTGTCCGCAGTCTCTGGTCATCCCTGTACTGTGTCCGCAGTCTCTGGTCATCCCTGTACTGTGTCCGCAGTCTGGTCATCCCTGTACTGTCTCCGCAGTCTCTGGTCATCCCTGTACTGTGTCCGCAGTCTCTGGTCATCTCTGTACTGTGTCCGCAGTCTCTGGTCATCCCTGTACTGTGTCCGCAGTCTCTGGTCATCTCTTGTACTGTCCGCAGTCTCTGGTCATCCCTGTACTGTGTCCGCAGTCTCTGGTCATCCCTGTACTGTCCGCAGTCTCTGGTCATCTCCTGTACTGTGTCCGCAGTCTCTGGTCATCCCTGTACTGTGTCCGCAGTCTCTGGTCATCCCTGTACTGTGTCGCAGTCTCTGGTCATCCCTGTACTGTGTCCGCAGTCTCTGGTCATCCCTGTACTGTTAATTAGTTTGCACTACTGTACGAGTTGTTTTTTCTAAACCAAAAGCTCGATATTCAGGTTTCATTGCAGTGTTGGCACTTTGAAAGAAATAAGTTGGTTTTGGGTTGCAGTTTGGGCACTCGGGCTCAAAAAGGTTCGCCATCACTGCTCTATCATGTTCTAGGGTCACAACACTCACTAAACGTTCACACTAGCTTTGTTAGCAGGCGTTAGGCATTTTAGAAGTGTTAAAAACACTTCCCAAACGCCTATGAAAATTCTACACATGGCAGCACGCAGTGCTGTTCACACTGAAGCATTAGCGTCGCGGCAAAATTGACGCCTCATGTTGAGTCAGGAGGAGTTGAAGCCTCCCATTCAAGTCTATGGTGATGCTCCTCAAATGCCTGGCAGGCATTTGCGAGGTGGTTGCGAGGCATTTGCAGAGTGCTAATACCATTAAATGTCATTATAGGCGTTTGTGGTATGGTTTGAATGTCTGTCAAATGCCTAAAAAACACACATAGGGCATTTGGGGAGCATTAAAAACAGTTCCCAAACGCCTGTCTAACCCTATAGGGGCGTTTGGCAAGCGTGGCTATGTACTTGACTTTATTTCTAACTCCTGCCAAACGTATAGCGTTTGAAAGGCGTTAGGTGTTTGGGAAACGCTCCCCAAATGCCCTATGTGCGTTTTTGAAGCATTTAATAGGCGTTTGCAAAGTGTTAAAACCGCACCACAAGTGCCTATAATGAAGTTTAATGGTATTAACGCCCCGCAAACGCCTGCCAGGCATTTGAGAAGCTTAATCACAGACTTTAACAGGAGGTTTCAACTCCTCCTGACTCCACATGAGGCGTCAGTTTTGCCGAGATACTTCAGTGTGAACAGCACTGTGTGCTCCCACCTGCAGAATTTTCATAGGCGTTTGAGAAGCGTTCCCAAAGGCATGTCTGACGCCTGCTGACAAAGCTAGTGTGAACGTAGCCTAAGAAATTAGTTAAGTGTGAACGAACCCTAAGCTGGGGCGGACTGACCATTTGGAAACTCTGCCACTGTCCGAGGGCCAGGGTCAGTAGGGGGCCCCATGAGATGCCCCTGGTACCTTTTTCATAGGCTTTTTTTTATTATGGGCAAGGACACAGGGGCCCCATGATCCCCTATTGCCCGGGGGCCCCATGAGTTGTCAGTCCGCCCCTGGCCTTAAGGCTTTGTTCACAGCAGTGTGTTGTAGGAACACATGCAAAATCACATGCTTTCCCGCAGCACTCAATAAAGCGCTGTCCTTTGCAGATGCGCTGTGGTGCTATTAATTCTTAATTGGACCACTATGCATCTTGCTAACGTGCGCTTGCTAAAACATGTGGCATTGCAGTACCTGTGTTCGGTGCAGCACAATCACAATTTTTAAAATGACACAGGTACCTTTTTTTTTTTTTTTTTGTTTCACATAGGGCATCCTATTGAAATTAATGGTCAATCTAAATAGGAAGAAGTGTGTTTATTTAGGCAGGGAGCGCTTACAGTATGATGTACATACAGGATACAGCAAGTCCTACAAAGGGCAGGTTCTTGTCTGGAATTGACTTCTATGTATGGGGAGACATCTCACAATTTATGTAGAACATAAATGTGTTTCAGCACTCTTGTTCTCACTATATAAAGAGAACCTGTATTGCTACAGAGAGAATAAGCAGTACAATAACTAATTATACAGATGGCTATTAGCCATGATTTTCCTACAGTTCACCCTTGTTTTTGTCCATCCCAATATTCAAAACATACAAAGAATGTGAAACAAGGGGTTAGAAACAAGGCACACCCAAACATTGTTAGTGTAGTTCTGTTTTTAAAGAACGCCTCATCATTGGACAGCTGTAGAACTTTGATCAATTCCATGCTCTCAGACATGGGTATATATTTATGTACGGTCATTATATATATATGTTTGTGTGACTTGCGAGCTAAACTAAATTATTTCAGATGGATCGCCAACATTAAGCACATAACTTCAACTGTGCACATAAAATAATATACCTTTAAATGTTGCGCTCCTTAATACTACAATATCAAAATATTATATCCTTCCTATAATGTGAGAATAATTATAAGTGGGAATAAATCATTTTAAGGATAAAGCACTATGTCTCCACTCTCTTTTTACATGCGGAGGAACGTATAAAGAGGATCAATAGGTGGTATATCACAGCTGAAGGAGGGATCAATCCCTGCAGGGATAAGCAGCCCACACAGGATATCTGTATTAATCCAAAAGGAAGGATCTTACAACTTATCCATATAGAGTTAATTCTGGCAGGTTCCAAGGGGGGTGAACCACAAGTGTGTATAGCCTAATTACAGGCACTAAAGGAGGTGAGCATACATCTTTACAAATTGGAGGATTCACTGAAAGTCACAAATTGAAGATTGATAATCACTCTGTCACAAATATTGGACTATATTTTTGATTGATGGGACTATTATTATATATATTAAATTGGTTTGATGGTATAATATATTTTTTATATAACTTGGTCACTTATGAATATTGATCCCTTTAAAATTTAAGGGGTGTCACATTATAGGAGGATATAATATTTTGATATTGTGGTATTAAGGAGCGCAACATTGAAAGGTATGTACGGTCATTATAGTTGCAGCAGCCTTTATTGCAGGTCTCTTATCCAAAGGAGAATTCCGAAACAGCATACAGTGATGAGGGACTAACATGTTATGATTACTGTCTTTTTTTAAAGAAATATTAAACCCAAAAGCAAACATTTATTATATTGCAGCTTGCCAATTCCTTTTGTGGTGGCTACATTTGTTTTTGTTTTTCCTTTATATTCACCTGGTGATCCTGCCAGCACAGTGGGTATAGAAAAGAACCACCCCTTTAAAATAATCACATTTTGTTGCTTTGTAGCCTGAAATAAAGACAGACACAGTTTTTGTTTTATCCAGCTGTGTTTCATCAGTGCAACTTATCATCCAAGTGAAAGATACAACACCAACATGTCAGAAACCCACACACAGGCAGAACATGCAAACTCCTTGCCTTTAGTGCCATGGTTTAGATTTTAATTGGCAACCCTAGTGCTCCTAGGCAGAAATGCTAACCACTAAGCCACAATGCTGACCGCAATACTATCTAACATAGTACCAAGAGTCAAGAATTAAGATATGGTATATACTTTTAAGTTGCTATTAAAAGAAAATTATAATTTGTCATTAAAAATTATTTGTCATATAACAGAGATATAACTGTAATGATTATATATATATTTAGCATTAGAAAATAGTATGCATTACTCTGTAACATTCATTAAAAAAAAGTCATTTATTTGCGAAACATGTAAAAATCCCTACTACAAAGCAAGTAAGAGAATTAATAATAGAATTGGTATTAAAAGAAAGCAAACAGCAAATCACGACTGCCAAATGTTTCTAGCAAGAATTGGGAAATGGAATCCTGGCTCCTACGCCCTCTAGGGACCAAGCTTAGAATTGCCTATTTTGTAAACACGACTATTCCAATTCGACATTTACTAATAGACATTTTCCTTTGTGAAGACGTTTTTCTGTTCACCACATCAAGGTCTTAATGGTTTTAGTTAGGTGAAGTTTGGTGTCTAGCTTCTATTGCTTCACCTTATTCTTAGTAAATCAGCCCCAATGGATCATTTCTTTGTTTACACTAGGGGTCCTCAAACTTTTTAAAACAGGGGGCCAGTTCATGGACCTTCACACTGTTGGGGGGCCGGACTATAGTTTAAAAAAAATATGAACAAATTCCTGTGCACACCGCACAGATCTTATTTATAGTGCAAAAAAAACAGGAAAAAAACAATATATAAAATGCATTTTATAATGTAACGCACTGAACACCGCAATGCACTGTACTCTGTAACGCACTGGACTCCGCAATGCACTGTACACTGTAAGGTACTGGACGCCGCAATGCACTGTACTCTGTAACGCACTGGACACCGCAATGCACTGTACACTGTAACGTACTGGACGCCGCAATGCACTGTACACTGTAACGCACTGGACGCCACAATGCACTGTACACTGTAATGTACTGGATGCCGCAATGCACTGTACTCTGTAACGCACTGGACGCCACAATGCACTGTGCACTGTAATGTACTGGATGCCGCAATGCACTGTACTCTGTAACGCACTGGACGCCACAATGCACTGTACTCTGTAACACACTGGACACCACAATGCGCTGTACACTAACGCACTGGACACCACAATGCACTGTAACACACTGGACACCGCAATGCGCTGTACACTAACGCACTGGACACCACAATGCACTGTACTCTGTGATGCACTGGACATCGCAATGCACTGTACACACCTGTCTTTACACGCATGTGAACTTTAATGGCATCCCAGTCTTAGTCCGTAGGGTTCAATATTGAGTTGACCCACCCTTTGCAGCTATAACAGCTTCACCTCTTCTGAGAAGGCTGTCTACAAGGTTTAGGAGTGTGTCTATGGGAATGTTTGACCATTCTTCCAGAAGCACATTTGTCAGGCACTGATGTCGGACAAGAAGGCCTGGCTTGCAGTCTCTACGCTAATTCATCCCAAAAGTGTTCTATTGGGTTCAGGTCAGGACTCTGTGCAGGCTAGTCAAGTTCCTCCACCCCAAACT